TGTGTGTGTGTGTGTTGTGTGTGTTGGATCTATGTGCAACTCAAGGCATATATATGCTCGAACGGGAGCCGCCTGGACGCTGCAATCATGTTGCGCACACTATCCGTGCTGAGTGTGCTGACTTTTCGTACAATGTCCCGCTGTCTGGCTTCCTGCATAAAGTCAAGTGCTCGGCGCAGTTGTGTGGATAGAGCGCTCCTCTGTTTTAATTTAAACAGCTCCTTATATCCGTTAGCGCAGCTAGCTAGCACCAGATGCTAACAACAACAATGCACGTAAGGTCTCTCTCTCGCTCGCTCGGGCCACACATACACACACACTCCCGGTCCTCCCAATAGCCAATCGGTGCCTGCCGGTGAGCGTGGAAGTGTGGTCTGTAAGGTCTCTCTCTCGCTCGCTCGGGCCACACATACACACACACTCCCGGTCCTCCCAATAGCCAATCGGTGCCTGCCGGTGAGCGTGGAAGTGTGGTCTGCCACAAGCGGGCGGCAGGAGCGGGGCTGTCAGCATCAGCTTGTAGATGGTATTTTAAACTCGATGCGCTCTGAAACTACGGGGCGGCCGAGGAAAAAAAATACACATGCGTTAATCGCGTTAAAATAATTAGTGGCGTTAATTTTTTTTATTAACGCGTTAAATTGACAGCCCTTGTATATATATATATATATATATATATATATATATATATGTGTGTGTGTGTCTGTATATATTTATGAACTTTATATTATTTTGATGAATATCTGTTCAACTTTATGTAAACTCATGAAAGATAAATGAGTGTTTCAATACAACTATTGCATATACAAATGTATAGTGCAGTTTTTGTTTTCATTGCAATATTTTTATTTATATGTATCAATATATTGCAATATATTAAAAAAAAAAATATATATAAGGACTACTTTCCCATATGGAAATGTATGATCCAGTATATTGTATTATATATTACAATATATTTTTCTTTGAATTTTTCCGTTTCGAAGCACCTGATGAATGCTTTCTCTTTGACGGGGCCAAAATCCCATCATCAACATGCAAGCATTTGCATTTGAATCTGCCAATCAGATCAATCTATTGCTGGAGAGGGGAGGCCTCCTCGAAATCTGTGAGATTGATTGGTGATGATCACTGGCACGTAATGTGTCCAATGAGAACGTTAACACGTTTTAGAGAGTTATACAAAATATTTGTTTAGCGAGAGGGAGGGTAGTTTTGGATAGCGGAAAGCTCATTACCAGAGGTGTGGACTCGAGTCACATGACTTGGGCTGCTTCTCAGGTCGACTATTTTCATTTCCTCGCTCCTCGGTCCTCTGTCTCACCGGAAGTTGATTTGCCTGCACCATCTTGAGTACCGTCCCATGGCTCTTATTTCTGCCGGAGGACCGAGGATCGAGGATCGAGGAGCGATAATGGAGGAGCGATAATGGAGGAACCACCAGACCATCCTCCGATTAAATCCTTCGATACTCGCCCCGCCCCCTTACTGTGTATCGCTCACTGATTGGACGATGCAGTGCATGCACTGATCTGATGCTTCTTGACATGAGAGCAGAGTGAAGAAAACACATGAACCTCACGGGAGTCACTCCTCAGTTTATACTGTGTTTTGTTTCAATTCATGTTTCATTTAGTTACAAATATGTGATATATCTGAACAACAAAGTGGTCAAAAATCATTTTATTCATTTGTTGGAAACATTTTCATGATCGCTTTTTTCGTTTTACATTTTCATTTATTGTCATTTCCATTCAGTCAGTCATTAAGTGCTATTAAAATGTTAATGTGCTACATATCCACACAAACAAACAAACAAAGTGTGCAATCCAATGAATGTTAATCTAACTGCGTTTTGATAGATAACATATCTCTTTTTCTTCTCTCAATTATTTTATTTCTTTTGTGCACTCTAATCAATATTAATCAAACTAATGTTCGTTTATACATTTTAAGAATGGTGTTTATCTTTTTTGAGAATGAGTTCTTATTGTATTTTATTTATTGGGATCTACAACAGATGATACAAATGTTTGTGTCAGTAAATGTGTACTAACCATAGACTGTATATATAAAGGTACTAACAGAGGCGGGGGGGGTGTGTGGAAATAACGGGGACAGAGCTGCTGTCAGACGATCAGCTGTACAGCGTCATCACAAACGGACGTCGCTTCACGTGACGCTCCGGAGGAAAGGACGTCCCATTGCTCTTAAAACTCATTTCCCTGCTTCTCGTGGTTTCCTTGCGTCCCTCCATGCTTCCCTGGTGGGAGGGACTAGACGCAGGGAAACGACGCAAGTGAGGGAAGCAAGGATTTCATTTAATCGACCTGAGAAGCAGCCCTGGACTCGAGTCACCAATTTGATGACTTGAGACTCGACTTGACAAAATCACAAAACACTTGCGACTTGACTTGGACTTGAACACCAATGACTCAGGACTTGACTTGGACTTGAGCCTTCTGACTTGAGGTAACTTGATCATTTAATTCAGAGGTCTCCAACACGCCGATCGCGAGCTGCCGCTAGAAGAGAAGACTCCCGTCGGGGAGAGCAGAATCTCCAGCCGCTCCTACTCTTGCTGAGAATCCTTGCAGGCAGGGGCGGGACTTTATTTACCATGCGGCCAATCATATGCGAGGACACACTAGGATCATCCCATTATGTGAAAGAAGGGTGGGGGGCACAGCAGGTGTAGTGGTACAGGCCAGCTGCACAGAGCGACGGGGAGACGGATTTAAATGCAAGTGCGTCGGAAAAAGTCAAGAAATTAGCGAAAACCGAAAAAAGAAGCAGCATCTGGCTGCTTTTCAATGATATTGGAGAAAGCAAAGCTGAGTGCAGGATTTGTAAAATTAAAATAACCTTTTTTGGTTACCTTTATTTTGGTAACCACTCAGGATTTACTGTCAGAGGTGGGAGAAGTTCAGATCTTGTACTTGAGTAAAAGTACCAGAGTGTAGGAATACTCGGTTGCAATAAAAAGTCCTGCATTCAAAATGTTACTCAAGTAAAAGTACAAAAGTATTAGCATCAAAATATAGTTAAAGTACCACCTGCAGAGGGATCTAGATGCAGGTGTTATTTTCCCCATAGAGACCGCCTCGCTGCACATTATCCCTTGCATAAAGATAGATTGTGGGTCCCTTATAACATGTTGTACACAGTGGAAATAAACATTCTGGTTTCCTCAACATCAGGGATCTTATACATTAAACTCCTTCTGAATCAAACCGTCACGGTAGCCTAACCTTACTGATCCCTCTTAAATTAGAAAAAACACGTTACTTTACCAGCAGAGAGAAAATGGATTATTAAATTATTAATGTGACTAATAAAGAGCAGTTTGATTATTAAGAATTATTCTGTTGATCGATGTCATTACATTTGGTGAAAAACACATAATGACTTGTTTATGACTCGTTTTGTCAAAGTTTAGGACTTGGACTTGACTTGAACTTGCCCAACCTGACTCGAGACTTGACTCGGACTTGAGCGCAAAGACTTGAGACTTGACTCGGACTTGAGCGCAAAGACTTGAGACTTGACTCGGACTTGCAAAACAATGACTTGGTCCCACCTCTGCTCATTACTCATGATCCTCTCTGCCACTGTCAGCCGGAAGTGGCCTGTTCGATTACTGTTTTGAGCTGTCTGGCGTGGATGGGCTGCATTCCACTCCAAATAGCCGGTCGGCCGTAACCAGAATCCAAACGCCAGCCGTTTTATGGATTCTCATTTATTTTCCAAGAATATCTCAGTACTGGGTTATTTCCCATTTCAAATTAAACATATATATATTAAACAAATAGAAATAAAAAGTACTTATGGAACATAATATACAGACACACACAAATATGCACAGATATATATATGCATATATCCACCCATATATATATATACATATAAGCATATATCCATATATATATATGCATATATATACAGTGGGGCAAAAAAGTATTTAGTCAGCCACCGCAAGTTCTCCCACTTAAACATATGAGAGAGGCCTGTAATTTTCATCCTAGGTACACTTCAACTATGAGAGACAGAATGGGGGGAAAGAATCCAGGAAATTGCACAATTGGTGGCTGACTAAATACTTTTTTGCCCCACTGTATATGGGTGGATATATGCATATATATATATTTGTGCATATATGTGTGTGTCTGTATATGAGGAGATATTTTCCAAAACGCTATAATCGCCACATTTAAAAAAATTGAGTTTGTCGTGCCATTTTGCTGTGTACTGAACCTATTCACTGGTATATCAACATTTCATACCAAATCACTATTTCAATTTCAATTTCAAACCTTTATTTAGACAGATTGAGATCACGGATCTCTTTTACAAGGGAGACCTGCATCAATTTAGTTCCACATGAAACATAAAAACAACATAAAAACAAACAATAGAGGACATCATATTTACCAACACTTACAAACACCCATAGTGTCAGAAAGCATCTCGTGCAGACGTGCCTTAAAAACATTCAGAGAAATAAAATTGCTCAAATTCAATTTGGACTGTAGGCTGTTCCAAGCAAGTGGAGCTGCGCACATAAAAGCTGTCTTACCTAAAACAGTCCTTACCCTTGGTACATCTAACAAGACTACATCCTGCGATCTCAGACAATAGCTGCTTGCAACTTTCTGCTTTATCAGAGAACAGATGTAATACGGGAGTTTGCCCAACATAGCTTTATAAATAAAAGTGTACCAGTGACTGAGCCTCCGTACAGAGAGTGATGGTAAACCTGCCTTGGTATACAGTGTACAGTGATGTGTAAGCGCTTTACAATTTGTGACAAATCTCAGAGCACTGTGATACGCAGCATCCAATTTGCTCAGGTAATTGGCTATACTGTATATCCTTGTTTAAAATGTACGGCAAGGTGCAGTTCCTTTCCAAACCGCGATAAGCGCCGAACCCATTTTGAGCCTTAACGCGATATGTCCTCTCTACCAATCAGAATTCGGTGAGCGTTCTATGCAATCCAACATGGCGGCGCTCTGAGTCGAGGTTTGTTTATGTTCATTCAGTCTTCGAAATAAGTCTTTAAATGTCTTTAAACTGTTGTAACACCTTTGATGGCCTGGATGAGCCAGTGAGACCTACACCTGGGGGTATAAAACGTTGACTGGACAAAGAAAACCACAAAAAACAACAACAAAAGAAGGTTCGTCACTTGTGTGGCGCGTTAATACCGACTGTGGGATGTCAACACAAAGCTGCTACGAAAGGTTTCTATCAGGCCGAGAAGCTGTCACCGGACGACCTGATGATGAACTTCAACCATTTGTATGAAAAACCAAATAAGGTTGACCAGGACCGGGCTATACTTCATCTCCTGGACATCACGCAAGTGAAAAGGAAGCGTCCGAAAGTTCAGGACGTAAACAAACAAAAAGACCGGAACGTATCTGTCAAGTACAATCTCTTGTGCAACAGTCACCCAGAGAAGGTTCCCGTTTGCAAGGCGACCTTCATTAAAGTGTTTGGTGAGTACAACTTTCGTTTCAGAATTTGCTAGTTTAATACCGTTTTGTAGGTTTCTCCCTTGCAACAAAGATCTTCTGCTGTTAATAAGCATGCTAACGTGTTGTTGTTAGCATCTGGTGCTAGCTAGCTGCGCTAAAGTTAAGTATATAAGGAGCATTTTCAACAACAAGGTGGAGGGACAGTCCTCTCCTGTCAGACTGAGAGACTGATAACCTCAGCTCAGGTGAGGTAAAGGACTCTCTGAGTGTTTAGATAGTTAACTTAGTCTAAGTTCTCAGTGGGTCTCAAACGGTTTGGTCACCATTTATGTAAACACATATTTCCATTTGAGGGGGTAGTGATTAGTAAAATATGCATGAATAATAAAAAAAAAAACATTAACTAGGTGAAAAAAGGTAAGATAAACTATTAAAACTTGTTGAGAGCTAAAACTAGTCTTTGCTTCTACCTCAAAGAGGAGCAGGGGGAGAGGGGGGAGACGGGTGAGGCTGGTTCAGGAGCACAGACACACTCACAACTATAAATGAACCAAAAACAAATAAATAAACAAGTTTCAATGTTTTTTCATATTGGATATGGTACAGTATGTTATTGGTTATGGCCATGTTTTTATGATTATTTAAATGTATACAGTTATGTTTCATATGGGTGTAGTCTCTTTATTTCCCCCTCAAAATGCACCAGATTGATGCATTTAAGTCCAACATTTAAAGAGAACTCCTCATATATTTATAAACTGTATATTATGTTCCATAATTCAATGGACAATGGAATTGTACTTTTTTTATATATACCATCAAACATATTTTCATATATAAAGTGGGTAACTATACAAAACGAAGTGAGATAACTGTTTATGAATATCTGTTTAACTTTATGTAAACTTGTGTAACTCATGAAAGATAAATGAGTGTTTCAATAAAACTATTACATATCAAAATGTATAGTGCAGTTTTTGTTTTCATTGCAATATTTTTTTTTAATATGTATAGTCATACATGGTCCATGCATATATTGCGATATATTTCAAAATATAAGGACTACTTTCCCATATATGGAAATGTATGATCCAATATATTACAATATATTTTGTTTCATAAGGGCCTCACCACCTTTAGAGGACACAGTAAGTACTGTTGAATGGAGTATGAATACAACTAAGACATACTACTTTGTCAAAACATTCAACTTTGACCCTCTTGCTCATAAATCGTGTCGGTTAGATCAGCCAGAAAAGCATGCTGGTTTGCATACGGCAAAATGCAATGGGATGCAGTGGAGAATCTTGGTATTTTAGGAGCATAGCACTTGAGATACTATTGGGACATACAAAATAATTTTCTGGCCTATTAAAATGTAATATGTATAACGGAATGTACCCATCTCTGGATCTACTGGTGTTGCATTTATTTGTAGAGCAAATATTTTGTAGTCTCTGCGGACACTATAAGAATCTGAATCAGGTTCATTGCAGGGAATTAGCTTTGGTGAACAATGCTGTATATGTAAACACAATAAGAGGAATTTAAATGTAAGAGGAGCAAAAACGTAACTTTGATTAAACCCTTAAAAAACGATGGAAAAATAAAGATAAATATTAAGACGAAGTATCATTTTACAAAAAGGAAAGAATACAAATATGCTCTGAGATATGAGCAGTATATTATTATGGTCAACGCTACCACTATCTGCACAGCTCTCTGAGCAGTATATAATAATATACTGCTCAGAGAGCTGTGCAGATAGTGGTAGCGTTGACCATAAATGTGTAAAATATTTAGAGGAATTTGAAGGGGTTCACAATATTAAAATCAACACGACGTGCATTAATATAATGCAAAGTGTTTTTGTGGCGGGCAGTGTCATTTGGGGTCCCGGGCCTTGTGATGAGGCCTGGCTGACGGATAGCGACTGTTTTTATGATGTGAGGTTTGCGTCCTTATGGAGGGGGGGTCTGTGTCCAGGGTGGGAGGGTGTCAGCCATAATATTTCCTGCCCACCTCAGGGTCCTGAATATCAACAGGTCATAAAGGGACGACAGATTGAAGCTCATTCACAAACTGTTGGCAGAGTCTGCCATACAAGGTACCACCTACTTGACCCAAATCCATGTTGGGTTCAGCATTCTCCCAAGGACATGTTGACAGCATTAGCCTGGGTATGAACCACCAGCTGTCGTATTGGTAGACGACCGATCTACCTCCTAACCAAGCCACCTGAACCTTTTCTTAGTCGGACACTGTTGAATGAGTAAAATGGTAAATGTAACTACTTCATTTAACATCTCTTGACCACAGGGTTGTAGTCATTTCGCGGTTGGTCGCAACCTTTTCCCCATTGGCCAATGATGGATCTCTCGGTATGATTAACTTGGCCAGAGATTCCTGGACTAAGCTGGTCAGTATAGGCACAAATGCTGCAACTCTCTACCCTACATTGATTATATTTCTCTTATTTCCTTTCTTTTCTCATTTGATTTAGCAGGCAAACATTAATTCAGCAAAGTACAAACACTAAAACATTGCCTCACATTACCTCAGATGTCTTTGATGTGCTTTGCCAGCAGCTATTATTGCTGTTGTCAATGTCTTATGTCACTGCTGTATCCATTGCATTGGTTACCAGTTGGATCTCAGCTTCACCTGACAGTTTAGAGTATAAAGAGCTGCAGCATCTATAGATACACTCCTCTGTGTTCGGGTGTTTTTACATTAAGGCCACGTTTGACTTTGTAGTCATGCTTCTATCAGTTCCTGATCTACCCACCTAGCATCTAATAAGTGACTAAAAGGCTACTTGCAGCTGATTGAAGATAAATGCATGTCACTGTCACCTTAAGTTTGAATCGATTTGTGGCAGGGAACGCATCATTTCCTAACTTATTTATTTGCAAAAAGAACATCATATCTGTCTGCTTAGATTTAGTTTACCAGGAATGACAAATGCATGGAGAATGAGGACAAGAGAAATCTGTATCTTCACTATGTTTTATTTTTGAATACACAGCTATGAATGTAAGTACATATAGAATGTGTGGTTGTGTGAAGCTTGTGTTATTTATGTCTGTACAGGTGTATTACATTTCTCAATAGAGATGATGGCTCCGTAACTACAACACAAGTCTACCAACAACTCTACCGTGATTATGGCATAACTGGGAAGCAACAGAATACAACGGAAAGTGTAACTTGTTTGTTACAGCTTGAAAAGACTGATTGAAGAAGCCAGTAGATTTTGGAACTTCAATCACCAAACACTGATTGGCAACTGGGAAAACATTGGGTGCCAAAGGGAAGTACTTCGTTTTTCAGGATTTCGACACACACAAAATCAATGCAGAGGCCTCTTCTTTGGTTTTCAGATGTTTTTTGGCTAAGCCAACCATCTGAATTCTCCATGGTACATGCCTGGTGGGTAGAGGAATCCCATCATCTTGTGTGCCTCGGAACAATTATTGAAATGTTCCAAGTCTTGGAACCCTAACCCTAACCCTAACCCTTTTCCCCATTGGAAAACATTTGGTCCAGGTTCCTCACATCTCAATATTAGTTGTGTTTATTCTAGTATGTTCCATAACTATATACACACACAGGAGGACGTTTCCTCTAACTTTCCCTAGCAGGTTTGCCCTTGATCGTTACCTTATAAACTCAGACTAGAAAGAGACTAGTTTGTTCCCAAACTGAGAGGCTGCTTATTTTGGTTTGGGCAACAAAAGCGTTCACTCAGCTTTTAAGTAAAATACCAGGGTATAAAATTACAGTTATTAGTGTCTTTTGTCCAAAAAAGATCACAGAAAACTGTAATCTTGGAACAAACACCCTCCATTGAAGCATCTTGTCTGCCGTAGTGGAGAGTCCTTCCCGTTAACCTTTCTGTTGTCTTAGTGTCAAATTTGAGCCATTTCTAAATGTTTTGATGTCGGAATAGGAGGTTATTTAATCCAATTGCCACACAAATGAAAATAATTGCCTTTTTTCAACTCCAAAAAAGGATTTAATTTGTTTAAATGATGTCTATTGACCATAAATGCAAGACAAAAAAAGTTAAACTTGTGGTACATTACATTTAGCTTTTATCCAAAGCGACTTACAATAAGTGTATTCGACCAAGAAGAAAACAGAATCATATAAGTACATCGGGTTTCAAGTACTACTCAACTGGAAATGCATGTGTCTATAATAAGAAGATGAATTCACGAGGATGTCAGCAATCGTGTGGGAGCCATCAGTGAAGTAGTATGGTGAGAGTCTGGCAGGACCGCAGAGACAGGTTCAGCCACGACTCGAAGTGCAGGACTCAGATCCAGTACTCAGGATCCAGGACACACGACCACAGCAACAGGATTAGCCTCAACTCAGGATCCCGGCGTATATATGGACACAAAAAAGAGATTTGGGGGAAACTGGGTTAATCGGAACATGAGAGTACACAGGTACAAACAGCCAGAAAGACGGAGTAAGGTGCCCCCCCCCCCAACAGTCCAAGCCTATAGCAGCTAAACTAACGTGTCTAGATACATGCACTCCCTTAGGATAGGTTGAGGGAAAAGTATAGCAAGTAAGAAGTAGGAAACGGAGGTGGAGAGGCACACGCAGGGAGAGAGGTCCCCACTGGAACCGGAGTTGGTGAGAGGTAAGGAGTAGGTCTGTGGCTACGTTCCACACGCCCGGGCTAGGCCTTCTCTGCAACATGTTACCCTCTATTAGAACCTTGAGAGGTCATAGAGGGGAAAGGTTTGGATAAAGTTTTAAATATAAGATCTAAGTTTTTAGGATTTAAGTGAAAGAGTAAGAACTAAAATGTATAGGTGAAGAGGCACAACGTATCTACGTCAATGCACTCTTATTAGATTATTTTATTTTATCACTATAAGCTTTATCAAAAAGGAAGGTCTTAAGCGTACTCTTAAAAACGGATAGGGTGTCTGCCGCCCGAACACAAACTGGAAGCTGATTCCATTGTACTTTTAGAGACTCTAGGAACAACCAACAACCCT